GGAGAGCCCAGACATAGTGAAGACTTGCTGGGGGCTGGGAGGCCTGCCAGCCTCCCGGCCCTCCAGCACCCCTGCCTGCCATGTACATGGTAAATCCCAATAAAAGCCTGAAAAGCCACTGAAGGTTCCAGGACTCTCTCCTCCTTTACCCCATCTGCTCAGATCATAGAGATCCTGCACTGTGCCCCTTCCTGCAGCTACAGGAACTTTCCTTTATCTGTCTGCCTATAGGGTAAGGTAAAAGGTATCAGGCTTTTCTGCCCTCCTGCCATTAGGATAGATGACGGAACCCTGTGGTCCTGAACGCATGCCTGATGGCGGGTACCTGGAGTAGGCTGTGGGCATAGGTAGATGGGATTTGACTGGGCTTTTAAGGGCGGCATCATGGGGACGCCAGCAGAAGCCAAGAGAGAAGCAAGAGAAGCAGAAGCTGAGAGAAGGCCATAGAGTCCAGTGTGAAGACCTGCTGGGGGCTGGGGGGCTTGCCAGCCTACCAGCCCCCCAGCGCCCCTACCTGCCATGTACCTGGTAATCCCAATAAAAACCTGCAAAACCACTGAGGACTCTGACTCCTCCTTTACCCGTTCTGCATGGGATCAGAAAACCTGCTCAGTGGTCCTTCCAGACCTTACAATTGGCATAGTCAGCAGGATGATCCACGCAGATGGGTATGGAGCCATCCAAAGATCTGGAGGGACTGAGGAGTAACAGACTGTGTTTGCCTGTGATGACACTGGAGGTGTCATGGCAGCACAGGAGAGGGACAAGGTCCAGGAGCTGAGAGACAAGATCTCGCGTGGAGGAGACACCCGAGAGGACCAGCCAATGACCCCTGAGGCAGCAAGAATCATCGGGGAAGAGAGGACCACGACTTGGAGCTGCCCAGTGCTGATGGCAGGGAGAGGCCAATGGACTTGGGCTAATGAACTTGGACTGATAATCCCACCAGAAGGCGGAGGAACTTTGGTAAGTTAAGTTTTGGGGACTCTGGGGGAGAATGCTATTGTTTGTACACCCCAGGAGATGGGAATCTGGGGGTGGCCAGTGGGCCTCAGTGGCCCAAAGCAGCCTGTGTATGCCCAGCAGCTAAGCAGAGGAGAAAAGCCAACTGAGAAAGCAAAAGCTGGTACTGATGCTAAGTTTGGGAAGCCCTAAGTGGCTGTTAAGCACTAAGTAAGCTGAGGAAGGACAGTGAGTCTCGTAAAATCACCTGTGGGTGATGCCCTGCTCGTTCTTGAGTGAGGGTGAGGAGCTGAGGAACCCGTCCTTGGGGGACGGGTGGGGAACGTGGCTTGGGGTGGAGCCCAAGATGAATGTAGAGTTTGGATCCAAGGATCCCCGACCCATGTGCTTGTGCAGTGGGTTGGCCTGAGTGCAGGGGTCTGCGGGTCACATTGGTGGCTATGAAGGCTGAGTGTTGGAGCGACTGCAGACAGAAACCCTGAGGGTTGGCGATTACCCCCAACAGTATAGAATCGCCAGTCCCAGAGTGAGTGCATCCTGGGGGTGGATGCTGTGTGTGGCTTGTAGCCGAGACTGCAGCCAGAAAAGGCCAGGAAGGCTGACGGCTCCTGGTGTGTTACAGTAGATGCCGTGAGTGGTTCCCCTCCCTCGTATGAGCAGTGCCTTTGGCAGCAGATGTGGTGGCTCATCTGCTGGTACCAATAATTGTCTTTTGCCACTAGATTGGAGCCCTGCCTGGACTTATTTGTGTTCTGTTGTATTTTTTTGTTGTTGTTGTTATATTGTGATGCATTTGCTTTTGTGGGCCATGGCTGCATTGTTTATGTTTGCTAAGAAAATTGTATATATGAAGACTATATGGCAGAAAACCCTGAGGGGGTGGACTGTATGGTAAGGTAAAAGGTATCAGGCTTTTCTGCCCTCCTGCCATTAGGATAGATGACGGAACCCTGCGGTCCTGAATGCATGCCTGATGGCAGGCACCTGGAGTAGGGTGTGGGCATAGGTAGATGGGATTCGACTGGGCTTTTAAGGGCGGTGTCACGGGGACGCCAGCAGAAGCCGAGAGAGAAGCAAGAGAAGCAGAAGCTGAGAGAAGGCCAGAGAGCCCAGAGTGAAGACCTGCTGGGGGCTAGGAGGCCTGCCAGCCTACCGGTCCCCTAGCGCCCCTGCCTGCCATGTCCCTGGTAATCCCAATAAAAACCTGCAAAACCACTGAGGACACTGACTCCTCCTTTCTTTACCCGGTCTGCATGGGATCAGAAAACCTGCTCAGTGGTTCTTCCAGACCTGACACTGCCCAAATCGATAGTGAACCTACCCTGTGCCTTCTGGCACTAGAATAGAGTTGGGTCTTTTTCATGGCAATGCTAAGCAAATATGTATGTTAGGCAGGAAAAATAAACAGTCATTTGTGCCTAAAGCTCTGAAAAAAAAAATCAGAATTGGGTTGGCATAGTGTAAGGTAAACGAAGATTGCTCAGGCTTTGCACCACTGGCCTCTGTTGCTACCACCTGTGGCCTCAAATGCAGGAGATGCTTGGGAGTGTGGCTCAGGGTATGAATGTGAGATAGTGGACACCTGGAGCATGATGTGGGTGTGCATAAGTGAGCACACCTGAGCCGAGAGACTAACCATATAAGGGCAGCATCACAGGGGGTGAAGGATGGCTATAAGAGGAAAGAGATTCGCAGGGCAGCCCAAGTTGCTGTCTTCCTGGCTTGTTTTCCCCTAACCTGTGGAGATGATGCTAAGGGCTCCAAAATTCTCTATCTGGCCTGGGATGGTTGCAGAACACATACCCAGTGAACATCAAGTCAAGAGGAATGTGTTGTCATCAATCTCCACTCTCAGATTCCTTGAATTTATCTTTCAGAGAAATCTATGTGTGGGGAAATAGCATTTAGTGCAGGTGGTTGCTTGGCTCTATCATAGTGAAGAAGAAAACTAAAAGGTGAGTCTTCATAATTGGTTGGCTCACTAAATAAACATGTACTTGCTGCCTGTCAGTGTCAGGACAACAGAACAGTCGGAGGCAGCCTGCTTCTGGGTACTCTCGGTCTGTAGATACCCGACCAAGAGTTTCTGTGGGCTTCTCAGCAGAAGCTTCAATAATTAGCTAAACAAGACACATACGAATACATGTTCCCACCGAACTGAAATAAAACATCACTAACTGGCTAACTAATAACATATGTGCCTGAAATCTGTGGTTCTACATTCAGGAATAGAATGTTCCTTTGCACCTTCTTTGTTTTATCCTTAGCTGAGTCTGAGGTTTTCCAGCAGCTGTAGCTTGATGTTGAATTTCTAAAGCTGCCAATGTAAGAGGAATCCCAGAGAAGAAGAGACTGGTGAGGAGGAATATTAGTGATGACAGAGATATTATTTTGGAAAAAAATTTCACATGATCATTTTTTCCTAACCCACCATCTTTTTTTTTTTAATTGAGTTGAGATTAGCCAATCAAAGGCAAAATCAGTTTGTTCCAGGCCTTACTTTTACTCAAACAGCATTTTCACTATCTCTGAATTCCTTCAGAAATTCTTAGAGGGATGGAACACAGCTACTTAACAGCATGCCAGGAAAAAGTATGATCAATTTAAGAGCACAAAACACTTACTCTTGTCCCATTTATATAAGAAAAACCGGTAGAACTCTTCCTTACTAGTAAGGAAAAGGTTAGAGTTTCACCTCCACGATGGAATGAAGCCCAAAAGATCTTTCATGAAAAGGATTTTGAACTTTTTTCACTAAGCCAAACTTCATGCCAGGGCAAACCTTGCCTGCCTGCCTCCTTCCCTCTCACTCTCTGCCATCCTATTTCCTGAGCCCTCCTTCCTCTTTTTGTGACCCTCTGAGGCACTCAGAAGTCCATGAATTGTAGTCCCGCAGCCAAATCCTCTCCCCCAGGGCACTCCTCATTCTAGATAGTTCCATCTCCCCTTGCCCACTCTGACCTTCAAAAATGCATCTGTATCATTCCTTTAATATCAATTGCTTTGCTCAGAGTCTGAGACGCTAGATGCTCTTAGTGGGTATGAACAGGTTAGTGAGGAGACTCCCAAGTAACCTGGGATCATTTTTATAGGAAACTTCTGAGTTCATTTTCTAATTCCAATAATGAGGACTTTTAACGATTTCAATAATAAGAACATTTAAGTTCCCTGGGAAACATGTGAATAAATTTAGGGAAACACTGAATTCTGGCACATCACTGGAATTCACTAACTTGTGGGATATTTCATCTCCTGAGTTCATCCAGATAGATTCTGTGGGGGTTAGATGAGATGCTTCTCCTGTGTAAAAAAAAAAAAAAAAAAACCTCACATGCTAATAATTCTGCTCCAAAGACTCCAGAGTTGACCTTTAGACTCCAGAGCTCACCTGACATTTGGTATACACCAATGACTACGTCCACTCTAGAGTGTCCTGTTCAACTGAGGCTAGACATTGATTTCCCTTTAGAAAGGATGAAGTTGTTCTGCTTAATGACAGTCACCTTCCCCTGCATAGTCAAAAGGTAAGTTAACTATAGTAACAAACCACCAAGATCCCAGAGGCTTAAAACAGCAATGATCTCTCATGTAAAATTCAAGCAGATAGTCTCCAAATAATGACTCAGAAGCCCAGACTCCTTCATTTGGGGTTCTGCAATCTAGAAGTGACAAGGTGTAGGGTAAATGAAAATGTATCAGGCTTTTCCGCCCTCCCACCATTAGCACTGATGATGGATCCCTGCGGTCCTGAATGCATGCCTGATGGCAGCCACCTGGAGTGGGGTGTGGGCAAACGTATGTGGGTACACCTGGGCTGAGACTGGGCTTATAAGGGTGGTGTCACAGGGACACCAGTGGAACCAGAAGAGAGCAGAACCAGAAGAGAGCAGAACCAGCAGAGCAGCAAAAGAGAAGAACCACGAGAGAACACCAGAGCCCAGCTTCCTGACACCCCAGGCACCCCTGCCTGCTGTGTACCGGGTAAAAGATCAATAAAAGCCTGAAAAGCAACTGAGGGCTCCAGGACTCTCCTTTACCTGTCTGCTTGGATCATAGGAAACCTGCTCCATGTCTTCCTGCTGCTACACAAGGTCTCTGGGCTTCCTCTCCAAGCCAGGGCCACCGAGAAGGAACATGGGCACAAGTGAGGTCTTGGAGCCAGGCTGGAAGTGGAAGTGATTATGAGAGAACTCAGCTTCCTGTCGTCCACCTGCAAGGGAGGCTGGGAAGTGTGGTTTAACTGTGTGCAGCTGTTTAATGACCTGCATAATCCACACTCTCTCAGCACGAGCCCACCACTCACCTGCACCAATAAGAGACTTCATCTGACCTGACTCCAGTTTTTCTATTAACTTTCTCCGGGGTTTCAGTTGATGCAACTTGGCAAAGAGTCTTGCTTGACCAAACTTTAGTCAGGCTCCTGAATCCCCTCCTAGGCCCATCAGCGCCCATCCTTGTAAACTCTAATTTTAGCAAGAATCCTGCTGAATCTGTTTAGCCAGAACCTTCTACTCTGTGGGGTTCCCCACGTCTGCCTTCACCGGGTGATATCTGGGTGCCCGGACCTGTCTTCAACAAGAATCCGGTTGGGTTGGTTTAATCAGAACTCCCTTTGTCCTGGATGTTTTGCTTGGTAATTTTCCATCCATTGACCCAACCTACTTGTCCATCCTGTATTCAGAGATGAACCCAATCTCTGTCCCCCACTGTAAAATCCCATTGCAGTAGTCCTTTATCCATTGTGATGCCCTTGAATAAAGCCTGCCTGACCATCTATAAGAAGTGTCATTCATTTTTTTCCCTTTAACAGACTAAAAACATGGCCCTTGAGAGAGAAAGGCTGAAGATTAAGGAACTATGGCGATGCTATGGTGATGAATTCTTCTGGAAATTTTCTGCTTGAGAAAACCTTCCAAAATCTTTCCTCTTTCAAAAAGAAAAACTGATTTTCCCCTTTAGGGATTTTCTGCTCCACTCCCCCAAAAACAGATCCATGGATACATAAAGTCTGAGAACAACATACAGTGTAAGATACCTAGGCCCCTAGAAACAAAACACTGTTTGAGTTTGCCTAGCTTCCTCTTTAAGTGTACCCACATTTCTTCCAGATGGGCTACTTCACAGAGAACCATAGTCCAAGGAGGACTAATCCAAGGATGACAGACTCTTTGATCCAAGGATCACTTCATTAAGATACTCGGCCCTGATGGCCCAAGTCCATCCACTACCTCCCCAAAGTGCAATATCCCTCATTGATTTCAGTGAGACACCAATGAGGTGATGTCTGGTTGGTATTCATTGGATAATTATTAATTCAATGTCAAATTATTAATTTATGCCAGAAACTAAGTATGGCTGTTGTCATATTACAGCATAAATAATAGAGGAGACTAGACCTTGGACCACACTTTGAGGAGTTCTGACATAATTGATTCCCATCCCTAGGTGGCCCCATCTGGGCAGAGTCACAGACCTATAAGCCCCTCAAAATGAGCAGTGCTGACTGAAATAGGAAACTACTATTTTGAGAATAATCAGCCTCACTCAAAGATGACATTTTTAACATTGAAGGTAAAGGCTAATTTTGATGAGTGAGAATGTTACAAGCAAGAATCTTTATTTTTGGCTTTTCTCTTTATCTTATCCTTACATTTTCTAGACTTATTGAGATCTCTTTGCCATGACTCCTCTAGAAGACTTTACATGCTGTATTCCTTTTATTTCTCAGAATAATCCAATGATTAGATACAATTCCTATCTCCATTTTACAGCTGAGGAAAGTGATACATTTGCTTAAGGTTTTATTAATAATACCTCATATTTACATTAGGTACTATAGATTATAAAAATACATTTTTACTTTATTGTGTCCTTGAGTCTTACAGCAACATAGGACAAATAGAGTATGTCATTTTTTTCCATTTTATAGGTGAGAAAACTAGGAGAAGTTGGGTTACTTGATCAATATCCCTCAGAAATTGTTGAGGCTAGGACTCAAATATAGATCTCCTGACTTCCAATCTCATTGTTCTACTATATCACACTACTCTATTTTTTACAATCACACATCAAATGCCTTAACCAAAAAGTTAAATTTGAAGTTATGTCTTCATATTTTTTAGTAGCATCAACCCAAAAGTGGCACAAGAAAAGATAAAACACTCTCTGGATAGACCTTCCTTTGGTAGAGAGAAGAGAATATTTGTAGGAGAATCAACTCCATTGTGTCCACCTATGAGAAACAAAAATTGGGCTGAAGTACCCATAAGCACTGAGCAAATAATCAACTCAGCAATAAATTTCAAAACCCAGAGATATGAAATATAGGACAAAGTATCCCCTCCCCTTCCTCCTTTCCAACCACCTCAGCTCACATGGCTCTTCCTATTTTGAAATGTGTGTTTCTCTCAGTGTGTATCATATAATCTAGTGCCTAGTGAGATCTATGTTTTACTGTCCGGTACTTATCACAAATACATGTCCAGCCATTTGAGTCCTAAAAGGTAAAGATGATATTTCCCTTTCACTTTTGTATCCACCAGAAGATGAACATAATCCTGGGCCCGTATGAATGATTACTAGAACTTGAAGGATATTCCTAATGGTAATAGTGGATCCATTAAAATACTAGCATTATATGTTAAGATTAACCATTTATGAGCCCATCACAATATATTCAGATTTGACTCTGGAGTTATGTTTGGGTATACCCATGTGTTAGCCATGTAGTTAAGAGTCAAATTTAAGACAGATTCCCTACATGTGTATACAGAGTATCATTTAACTTAGCACTGGAGTCTTCCTGATGGCATAGGGGTTAAGTTTCAGTATTAGCACCACCAGGACCTGAGTTGGATCCCAGCCCAGAAGCTAACCCACATGTGGCGCAGGAGACTTCTGTCTCACCCGCTGCACTCCTCAGCAGTGTATTTCAGTAAATTTGCCTGTTCCATTCCCCACTGTCTCTGGTGAATCCTCTTACCTACCACCTTCTCACCCCCTGTACCTCTGGCCTAAACCCCCATTCTTCTAGGCATAAATAAATAAATAAATAAATCTTACCACTAAATTTTCAAATCTCAATAATGACAGAGAGAGATATGCTGTTTAAATATTTGATATTTATACACAGTATTTGTAAATCAATCATAATAAAGATACATTGCAGACATTTCCAACCAGCAATTTTAATGAAAACAAGTCTCTAAATCTATATTAATGTTTCAAAAAAGATGGAACTATTCTCAAAACTCAATTGCCTAATAAACTGTATATATCTTTTCCTTAGTCTTACAGGATGAGCAGAAATGGATAGAATAGGCCATGCTTGGCAATGATGTTACTGATTTTTGAAAAAGCATTTGCTATTGTCCTTACCATACAGACCTCTAGTAACTTACACTTCAAATTTGTGAGCATCAATATGTAAGACATATAAAGCACAAGTGAGTTGGCACTGGTCAGGGACAGCCAGCAGGAAACCGTGTTCATTGCCATTTATCACCCTAAGAACAGAGGATAAGAACAAATTATAACGCCCTGTTCTTTATCTTCTGCAGAAATACTTTCCCATTTTCTCTCTCAGACTGAGAGCCAAGGCCATGTCCCTGGACAACAAACTCCACTAACTTGGGCAAAGCATCCTGGGCAACAAAAATCAGCATGCTAAGCTTTTGTGTGTGTGTATGCCTGTTGTGTACACATTTGCCAAGACCCTGAGAATGTCTATAACTGCACAATACATATGGCTACACATTAAAACTACTGTTTCCAGTCACGCTTAATAACACAAGGAATCATCTACAAGCTGGTCCATGATTGCAGTCTCTCTGATTCACTGGCATCCAGGAGTTTGGGTGCATTTATGAGAGTGATCTAGAAAAGCATGTGGGAGGAAATAGAGACTTCTAGACAAAGCTAGAACAAATGCCAAGACTAGACATGATGAAGGTGACCTGCCAGCCTGCCCCACAAATGTGATATTCAGTGCCAACACCTTCACTGGCAAAACTAACATGAAAAATGATCCCAGATTTTGCTACCTATTAATGCAAACAATTAAACAAGGAAAAGTATAGAGAAGATTGGCAGTATATTTGAATGATTATAGCACTAAATGTGGGTCCAACACAGCTCTGAGATTAATTTTACAAATCTTTTTTTTTAAGATTTGTTTATTTATGCATACAAGAGCGGGGTACAGGCCAGAGATGTGGGGGGTGAGAGGATTCACCAGAAACATAGTGGGGAACAGAACAGGCAGACTGACTGAAATACACACTGAGGGGAGCAGCGGGCAAGTAAGGAGAGGTCCACTGCGCCATGTGGGTTGCTCCCTGGCCTGACGGGGATCGAACTCATGCCGCAGAGGCTGTAGATAGCTTCACAGTGCAGTGCTTAACCCCTTACACCACCAGGGAGGCCCGAGATTAATTGTAAATACTTGATCCACAGAGAGAACAAACCCTGAGCTTAACTTAGATTCTGGTCATGATGCTGCACAAACTGGTTAACAGTCTTAAGAAAGTGACTGAACTCTCTGGGCCTTTGTTGCCTCACTATCAAATGACAGTGAGACTATAGAATCATCTACAGTAGTCATTTGCAAAATTTAAAAAATATAACAATTACACTTGCGGGTTGCCTTAGTTTGAACTGCTCTAACAAAAATACCATAGACTTATAAACAAAAGGAATCTAGTTCTCTTGAGTTCTGGAGGCTAAGAAATTTGACCTCGTGGTCTCTGCAGATCTGGAGTCTGGTGAGGGCCATTCTCTGGGTTGTAGATGTCTGTCTTTTCCCTTGTCCTCAAAAGGTGGAATGCAGAGACAGGAAAAGATAAGCTCTCTCAAGTATCTTCTTGGAAGTCACAAAGCCTATTCATGTGGTAACCTCATAACTGCCCAAAGACCCTAGTCCCACAAAAAAAATCACATGAGGGGCTAGCATTTCAACATATGAATTTGGGAGGCCATCATAAATATTCAGTCCATAACATTAGTCATATGTTTTTGATTTTGCCCATTGATTTCTTCAGCTTTTTCAGGTGAAAGCTATTGAATCCTGCAAGTTTATATACTAGGTTTTACCTTACATCTAGGATGTTTGAAGGTGATTTTTCCCAAATCAAGCACTATAGATTGCAAATTCAAAAAAAAAAAAAATGATCTACAGAAAGAATTGGCTCTATTGTAAAATAAATTTGGAAAACATAGCATACCATGACCTTGCTTTTGGATAGTCAGTATCTGTATTAGCATATTAAAGAGTCTAAGAAGTAACTAGATTAAAAAAAAAAAAAAACACAAAAACCTTTTCTTTGTTTAGCTCAGAGTCCGCGGACTTCCAACCATAAGTTATCTGCACCACTTTGTCTGAGGCTAAGTTCTCTCTCTGTGTCTTTGTCTCTCTCATTCCCCTCCCTCTTTTCCCACCCCCACCCCCACCCCATAACTTTGTTCTCTATCCTTGAAGAACAGACTTGAAGTGCCAGGAAATGAATACAATCCCAAGAGCAGACCTCAAGCAATCACTGAAGGGTGTATGACTCTCCCAGCTCCCTTACTACTTGGTTGGGACTACTCTGAGGCATGAGTTCTATAGTCTCCCAGAGTTACGCTTGGGGTTAAGTCCCAGTAACCCACAGTAGATGCAGTCTTGACAAGGTCCTGTTTATCACATTGCTTTCTTTCACTGTCTCATTTCCCCACTCCCCATCTCCCAAACAAACTAGGTGTGCATACATCCTATTGTAAGGTCTGCTTCTGGGAGAACCCCAACTAATATATGCCCAGGGTCTCTCAGGTTTGATGAAAGATCAGCTTTCACAAAATACTTTTTCAATTAACTAAAATTCTTTCAGTGACAAGTAAGAGAAGTCCCAAAACTGACTTAAATAGAAAAGTTAATTTCTGTAAGCCCAGGGACAGGCTAGCTTTATACCTCAGTCTTGAACAGTGTCAAAGTGATTTATTCTTCCTCCATTTGAGGTCTTTCATTTCCCATGTTGGTTTCATTCGAGCAGTCTCTTTCAAAAAAGCAGAAACAAGGCTATCAGCATTGAACTTACATTCTACCTCTACAGCAACCCCAATGAAAATGGACTCTTTCTCAGTAGTTCCAAAAGGAGCCCAACATAAAACTCACTGGCCTGTCTTTGTTCATATGGTTTCCCTACACTGATTCCCCAGACAAGTAAGATGGAGTATGCTGACCAAAAGGTCCTAGAATGTGTACCCAACTCTGGATTCGGTCATATCCAAACCATAAGGAGCAGCAGTAGGGAAGGGTTGTTCCTCACAGGCAAAATGGGGAAATGGAATGTTGCTCCCAGCTTCATGGAGCTTCAGGGAGCCTCCCTGGTGGTGCAGTCGGTTGAGCGCAGTGCTGTGAAGCTGTCCGCAGCCTCTGCAGTGCCAGTTCGATCCCTGCCGGCCTCAAAGCAACCCACATGGTGAGCAGACCTCTCCTGTCTCACTCGCTGCTCCCCTCAGCAGTGTATTTCATCAGTCCGCCTGTTCTGTTCCCCACTCTGTCTCTGGTGAATCATCTCACCCTCCCACACATCTGCCCTATATCCTGGCTCTTGTATAAATAAAAAAATAAATCTTAAAAAAAAAAATAAAAAGACTTCAGGACAGGCACAAGTAACAGAAGTCCTTCCACTCTTCAGCATTCTGTGGAGCTCACTAGGAAAATGATGCTGCAGAGCATTCATCAAGACTCACCCCATACAGGGCCTCCCCGGTGGCGCAGCGGTTGAGCGCTGGGTTGCGAAGCTGCCCGCGGCCTCTGCGGCGCCGGTTCGATCCCCGCTGCTCCCGGCCACCAGAGGAGGGTCCCACATGGCGTGCAGACCTCTCCTGCGCCCGCTGCTCCCCTCAGCAGTGTACTTCGGTCCTTCTGCCTGCTCTGCTCCCCGCTCTGGCTCTGGTGAATTCTCTCACCCTCCCGCGCTTCTGACTGTACCCAGTGCATGTATAAAAAAAACAAACAAACAAACCAGCAAACAAATAAATAAAAGCATGCCTCTATAAAAAAAAAAAAAAAAAAAAAAAAAAAAAGACTCACCCCATACACAACAACAACAACAAATCCTGAAAAAGTCTCAGAAAAAGGCTGAAAGTGCACTTTAAAAGAGTTTAGTTTCATAAATGGTATTAGAAAATTGGATATCCACACACAAAAGAATAAAATTATACCACTATCTTATACCAAAAATTAACTTGAATGCATTAAAGACCTGAATGTAAGACCTAAAAACAAAATACATAAAATAAAAAAATAGGCAGTAAGCTCCATGACATCTGCCTTAACCATTTGAACTTGATTCCCAGTTCACTACAAGGGACACAAGAGCAAAACTAAACAAAATCATGTACATCAAACCAAAAAGTATAAAGCAGCAAAAGAAACCATTGAAATAAAAAGGAAATCTAATGAATGGAAGAAGGTATTTGCAAATCATATATCCAACAATGTGTTAATGTCCAAAATGTGTTAAAAAAAAAAACTCATACAAAAACCCCAATTGTCAAAAACCCCTAGAAAAACCCCAATTGTCAAAAATAAGAGGAAGATTTTAAAAGACGAAGAAGATATGTAGAAAGCCAACAGGTACTTGAAAAGATATTCAATATCACTAATCATCAGGGAAATAATCAAAGCAAAACCACAAGAAATCACCACAAACCTGTTAGAATGGTATTATCAAAAAGTTAAGAAATAGTAAGTCTTGGAAAGGACAGGATTTGTTAAAAAGGGATCCTAGGTCCCATCATTGCAAATATAACTGGTGCAGACATTATGGAAAACGGTATGAAGATTCCTCAAAAATACAACATTTTTAACATTCTTAAACCATAGAAATACCTGCTTTTCTATTCCTGGGTATTTTATTCAAAGTATATGAAAATCTTAACTTGAAAAGATATTTGCATTCCCATGTTCACTGCAGCATTATTTACTATAGCCAAGATATGGAAACAACCTAAGTGCCCATCAGAGAACGAATGGATAAAAACAATGATATATATATATATATAGATATAGATAGATATATAGATATACATGCATATACACACACATATACATACATACAAACAATGGAATACTATTCAGTCATTAAAAAGAATGAAATCTTGACGCATGTGACCACATAGATGGACCATGAGGGGATTATGTTAAGTAAAATAAGTCAGATGAAGAAAGATAAATACCATATAATTTTGCTCATATGTGAAATATAAAAAAAATGAACAAAACCAACTCACAGATACAAAGAGCAGATTGGTGATTACCAGAGAAGAAAGGGTTTGGGGGTAGCAAAATAGGTCAAGAGGGGTCAGTTATTTGGCGGTAAATTCAATTATATGAAAAAACTAGACATTTGGTGATAATCCCGTTGTAATGTAGACAGCTTCAAACTGTAATGTTGTACAACTGAAATTTACATAATCTTGTAAATCAATATGATCTCAATAAGAAAATGTTTTTCAAGAGCTGAGACTCTCTGACAACTTGATGTAACCTCAATACACCTTTTATACACGACCATTTTACTAATATCACTAGTACATTACTTGGCTTCTTGATTAAGTATATTTAAAGAAGTACTATCAGCTTGGCATTTCCATCCATTCCTTTTTATAAATCTGGCTCCTCATGATTCATTTATTTACTATTCCTATAAGGGAAGGAGATCAAATAGCTGCACACAAATGGGAACATAGTCATAGCCATGAAAAAGACAAAAGAATAGTGGAGGTTAGAAATATATAAAGCACCCATCCACTCCTGGAAACTTTTTTTTCACTTTCTTGTCTTTCCCACAGGAAAAAAATTTAAACCTCAAAACAAAAAACAAATAGAAAAAAAACAGAATGGTTTAACTGCACACTTGTGGTTTTATTGGTTTTCCTGGAATTTACTACAATGCCCAACTTTAATTTATAAATTATGGCAACCATGAGATTGCAACCGACACCACGTGAAGAAAATGAAAACACCTCAAGAATGTTCTAATTGGCAAAGAAACACTCATCTGTGGCTGGAATTGCCAAATGAGAAGAGTGAGTTTCACATAGAGTCTTGGAAAGCATTATTGGTTTTCAAGTTATAAAAACAATATACTGTCTTTCCTATTTTTTCCTGTTTCTTTTCTCTGCTCTTAGGCCCACCCTCCCAGAGGAATCTCACTGAAGCAGTAACACACATCTACATTTATTAGGGGAGCCACCATGCCATTTCCTTCCACCTTGCTTAGATCATTCCCTACTTTTTGACAAAAAGGTCCTCTGTCATCTCTACTTTATGGACCCCCTGAAAAATGGATTTACTTGGTGTGTATTATTAAAAGATACATCATGTTAAAATCATGATTTCAGAGTTCCTTGGTCTACCCATTTGGAGTCTACCAGTGATGAGCAGATTTTCAAGAAGAGAACAAAGTCTGCCTTTGTTTCTCCAGCTCTAGCCTCTGCTCTCATGGGTACATTCTTAGGGTAAGTCACACATTCATTAATTGCTGCTATTCATGCCCCAACTGACTGCACTTTCTCACCTGAGTGCAGCCCATGTGATCCCACCCCATTTTCATGAGCTTACTGCCCCCCAGGTAGCCTGAGACAGCCTAAACACCAGCACAGGCAGTCAAGCAAGGAGAACTTAGCTATAAAAGCCTGAAAAGATTCAACAGCAGAGGGCCAGTAAATAAATGGTGAGATATAAAGTCTATTCAGCTATCTAAAAAAACATGCTTCCAAAAACTGTTAATGATGTGGGAAAATGCCAACAATACAACATTTTTGGAAGCATGAGAAGAAATACACTGAAACATAAACAGTAACATTCTATCTCTGATAGATAAGATTATGAGTGATTTTTTTCTTTGTGTTTTCCTATTTTTCCCATATTTTGTACAATGAATATCTGTTATTTTATAATGGGGGAAGGGGAAGTAAGAAATACTAAATTTTTTTTTAGAGATTAAAAAGTACAAAAAAAGTCTGTGAGAAAAATCTATAAAATGTTGGAGAGGAGCCGGTGGGGCCAAGTAGGTCGTTACTGAACAAACCAGAGCCTTGGATCTCCTTCCACTGATGAGATTCCTGCTGTCGCCACCTCATTAAACAGATTTACATCCCCCACAACATTGGAACCTCCTAGATGATCAGTGCCATCTCTCAATGTCACCATCCCAACATTGCTTAGCAGAGTGCTTTGCACAAAATAAGTGTACAAGAAATGTAGTGTGCATCAATTTATGAGAGTATAGTAGTTACAGATGGTGTGATTACTCAAGAGCATCAGGACACAGGAAGAACAAAGGGTCTAGGTGCTCTAGAAGCTTGAACTTTAGGTGAGCATCTGAAATCAGAGAAACTGAAGGAAGAATCAGAGGTCCAGAAACTCAAGCAGGACTTATGGTATTTAGGGGGTTAAAACAAGCATCTGGGAAAACAGTTGAGTTAATGGCCCAGGAAGCCAAGACAGCAGAGCCATGCTATGTCTGCTTTCAACTTTCTTTTAAGCAGGGTGGTCCTAGACGCAAGTGAGCTTCTCAGTTACCCAGAGTTGCCCCTTCATACACCAGGTCCAGATGGTTTGACTAAAAACAGAAATTCAGTCAACTGAGCAATTTAGGCCAACAATAGAGGATTCATTGGGACAACGTAATCCCACAATAGAATGTCTTTTAAAATGTCATTTATTGTTTTTGCCAAATTTCAAAAACAATGCATTCTCATTAGAGAAACATCTTGGGTGACTAATAAGCATATCTAACTTAGCATGTCCAAAACTGAGCTCCTGAGCTTGCTTCCCAAGCTCTGTGTTCCAGCAGACCTCCCCATCTCAAAGAATGCAGCTCCACCCTTCCAGTGGCCCAGGCTAAAACACTTGGATTCACTCCTGAGTATCCTCTGTCTCACACCCATCTTCTGTAGATATAAGCAAATTCTGGAGATTCTAACTTCGAAACACATCAATTCTCCAACCTTTTGTCACCACTTCCCTTGCTGTCACCTT